CCGAAATTTTTGTCCACAAAATCATCAAAATCCAACTACCTCCTCTCCTTCCTTCCTGCAGGGCTCTACTCCTATACTCTGCTTCAACCGCTTAAATAAGGAATATCCCAGAAAAACAAATGATTCTCAAGAATGATTAGATTATAAAAAGGACCTCCATTGGCTTCCTTCCCAGTTCTTCACCAACTGATTTTTGCTTGTCAGATGGCATTAGCGCGTACTGTTCACAAAGATCGCCATCAATCACCGACTGGAATTTGAAAAAAAAATCGCGTAATTAGAAAAAAATTGTTGTTGTTGAGTTTTTCGGAAAAATTTTAAAAAAAAATGGAAAAAACTGCGCACGTGGCTAAGAAAAATATTAAGCCAGTGGTGAATTAATAGCAATTTCAAATAAATGTGAAGCAAAACTCTGCATTTAAAAAAAAATACTCAGCATGCGAGTTAAACCATTTTTTTTTACTTGTCAGAGGATTTATGAATGCAATTCCATACATCTCTACTGCAGCCGAGGCCAATTCATATTTACAGACGTAACGGAACTTTAGGATCTCATATCGTGAACAAAATTACCAAGTTTTAAAGATACCACACAAAAAAAACAAAGTATTACAGGAGCATAATAAGAAGACATACCTTGACAGGGAAGTAATATGAGCGATATGCAAGATGATCACGGCCACAAAGCGGTGGATATTCCACTCTCATGTGCATTTCCAAATTTTGGAAAAGTTCAAATTCCTTCAAAATTCAGTTGTTCAAAAAGCTTTTATAAACTTTAAAAAAAAATTTGTATAAAAACCAGCAAGTTCAAGAGCCTAAATTTTAAAATGAAAAAGGTGATTCGACAAATTTTTAGGTTCAATATAAATTCGCCCAACCAACTCGATACTAAATCGGTACTAGATATATACCAGGAAGTCAAAACCGCCCTCAACCTACTTCTACGTAGTCCTCGAAAGTAAGGGCCATCGAAAATTCTGCCAACTGTTAACAAATACATTGATAACCTCGCTAACAGTTGGCACATGCTACCACTCAGACTACTCCCGCCACTCGTTGAGAAAAAACACAAAGGAATTTTTGACTTTTTCATCATAAATCTTCAGTTATGCGCTTAATCTGAGGTTATTCATACAAAATTCATATAAAATTGAAAATGATAAATCGAACAAAAAAAAAAAAACAATGGAATATATAAGAAACAATAAAACTATAAGATACTGCGGCTGAATAGGAAAATTTATTGTTGTTAATTGAAAAAATTGTAAAAAAATTTGAAAAAAAATTGTAAAAAATTAAAGATGAAAATTAAAACGAAATTGTCTATAGCATGCTTTCATTTATGCTCGGTAAGGAAATAACCGAAAAAAGTAAGTACTAAATAATAATAATAACAATAGCAATAATAATAATAGCAACAACAGTAATGATAACAATGATGATGATGATAATAATAATAGTAATAATAATAACAATAATAATAACAGTAATAATAACAATAATAATAATACTTATTTTTACTTTTTATTACTTTTCCCTGCACATATATATACCAGAAAAATTTTGTTAATAAAAAAAGCAGTTACTTGACAGCTGCTAAACTATTTATCCACAAATCACTTCGAAGAAAACTTTAAGAGCTTGGCTGCCATCTGCCTTATTGCGAGCTTATCTTCATCATCGTGAGTCGGTAAATCTGCTTTTTAGAGGATTGCTCGAAGGGAAAGTTAAAAGTAACTTAAGTGCCTAGCTAATTGAATATGCCAACATCAATTAATCAAAAGAATCAACAAATCCTTGAAAAGCACCAATTCCCAAGAGTGCTCCGCTTGAAAATATATCAAACACTGTGGTACCGGATAAAAAAAACCAAAAGACTTTCGATCAGAAAAAGAAAAAATAAATGACCAGCGCACTGACTGCCGGTGTGAAAATGCGTTTTTTGCATAGTTCCTCGCAGTGTTGTCGTTACCGGCACCATTTTTTCCGGCAAATGCTTCTAGTTAAGAGAACTGAGACTGGCCATCACCAAGGCTGTCTTAAAAGCATCCCTTTAAAATTTCACCTTTCTAACTTTTCTGGTTTCCGAGTTAGCAAGTTACTCGAAAAAAACTTTCACAGGCCCGTGCGTGGGGACCACGCATACCCGAGGGAGGGGTTTGAACTCATTAATACCTACTTGGGCGGAGAACGTCCCCTTGAAATTCCAGTCTTCTAGCTTTTCAGGTTTCTCAGTTAGCAAATTACCCAAAAAAACTTCAGCGCGCCCGCTTGTGGGTACCACGGGGGTAAGGACGCCCATTTTTTGTACACGCATGTAGATTAAGTCCTCAAAGTTACAGATCCCTGTAGCTTTTGTAGGTCTCGAGATGAAAAACCGGTACAGACGCACAGCGTACACACATACACACACATACAACCCCTCGTCAATATACATTTTCTGCATTGCATGGATGCAAAAAACAAATAAAAATAGAGCATGCTTACATCTCTGGACATAAACGGTACAAGAATTCCAATGACGCCTGAAATTGTTGTATACACCAAGCAATCATTTGCTCCTGGTACCAGTGATGTCTTCTGCATCGATGTAATTGTATCGCCAATATAAAAATGCGCTATTGCTTCCAGCTAAAAAAAACATTTGAAAAACTGTATTTCCTTTAAATTTTCCAGAATATCAAATAACTAAAAACTTTCTTCCAAAAAGGTATACGGGCAAATAAACCGAATAAACAATTTCAATAAATAGTTGTTCCAGTCGGTGAGTTAGCTCAATATAGGAACAGCAACATTCACGATAGCCTAGTGATGTTCAAAAATCACTGCAGACTTTTCGAAACAGTGTAAGCCCTACTGAGACCTTCTGTTGAAAGAAAAAACGCTAAACCGACAAATAATTTGGGAGAAAACGTCAGAACTGCCAGTAAATGTAGTTCTAAAGCTTCCACGCCGGACGGGAAATCCAACGTCAAATTTATTCTATTTTTTTAAAAAAATACCTTCTGTGATGCACCGTTCAAACTTCCTCGATCCCATAATGCGCGTACT